CCTGCGCCTGAGCCGCGCACGCCCCGGCCCGCCGACCCCCGGCCCGCACCCCCGGCCCGCGCGCGCCATGGAGCCCGGCCGCGGCGGCACCGAGATCGTGGGCAAGTTCGAGTTCTCGCGCAAGGACCTGATCGGGCACGGCGCCTTCGCCGTGGTCTTCAAGGGCCGCCACCGCGAGGTGAGGCCCCCTCCTGGACCCCCCGCCAGACCCCAGCCCGGATCCTCACCTCGGCCCCCCATCCAGGACTCCCGCCCGGATCCCCACCCAGGACCCCCAGCCCGGATCCTCACCTCGGCCCCCCATCCAGGACTCCCGGCCCGGATCCCTACCCAGGACCCCCAGCCCGGATCCTCACCTCGGCCCCCCATCCAGGACTCCCGGCTCGGATCCCCACTGGAGTCCCCAGCCCGGGCCCTCAGTCCAGATTCCCACCCAGGACCCCCAGCTCAGATTCCCAGCCCGGATCCCCACTGGGTCCCCAGCCCAGGCCCTCAGTCCAGATTCCCACCTGGGACCCCCAGCTCAAATCCCCAGCCTGGCCTGCGCCAGGACCCCCGAGCCTGGATCCCTACTGGGATCCCAGGCCTGCCAGCATGGACCCCCAGCCCAGATTCGCAGCCCCACCCACACCCAGGACCCCCAGCCCGGGCTCCCCAGCCTGGATCCTCAGCTACACCCCCAGCCCGGATCCCCCGGGATCCCCAGCCTGGATTCCCGGCTCAACCCACAACCAGGACCCCAGCCTGGATCACCACCCCCAAACCCTCTGCCTTGATCCCCATCCTGAGACTTGCACCCCTGGGGCCCACCCCGGCACCCCTGGGGCCCACCCTGTGCACTTTGTCTGGGGGAAGGCCTGCCCGGGGCCGTCTGGCGCTGAAGGTCCCCGTTGGGTTTTCAGAAGCACGATCTGGAGGTCGCGGTCAAGTGCATTAATAAGAAGAACCTCGCCAAGTCCCAGACGCTGCTGGGGAAGGAGATCAAGATCCTGAAGGTGAGCTGGCGGGGTGGGGGTGGGGGCAGGTGGGGAGGCGGTGGGCGAGCCTGCACCTGCTCACGCCATTCGCTTTCTGTCCTAGGAACTGAAACATGAAAATATCGTGGCGTTGTATGACTTCCAGGTAAGGCCTCTGGACTGCCGTCTGCTGGGGACAGGGTGGGCAGGGGACAGCGGAAGGAGTGGGCGTCCGAGCGCAGAGACAGGGCATCTGGCCTGCCCAGGTCCGAGGCCTTATGGGGACCCGGAGCCCCGTCCTTGGCCCTGTCTGGGGCTTGGGCTTCCTTTGGTGCTGGAGTCCCACGGCCTCCAGCTGTTTGCCTGGGGAGGGGCTGCCTCCGGTGGCCAGTTGCCCTGACCTACCCTGACCCTGTGGGGACTGGCTGCAGCGTGGCAGGTGGAGGATCTCCCTCCCCTGGGTGTCTGCCCCAGTGGCCCTGACCGAGTCTGGTGGCCGTGGCCTAGGCAGGCCAGTCGGTCCTGCAAGCCTGGCCCACCTGTCTGATCTGAGGCCGTTTGTTTGTTGACATTGCTCCAGTGGGCTGGCATTGGCCGTGCTCTCCCTGCGTCAGAACGGGGGAGGGCCCGCAGGAGATTCCTTTTTGCTGGCAGTCCCCAGGAGCTGGCTGCGGCTGATGAGGCCACCTCAGGCCAGGCCTGGCTAGCCCCAGAAGGAGGCCATTCCACCTGCTTTCCCACGCTGCCCCCTGGTCCCCGGGGCCCAGGGGCGGGCAGGGCTCGGAGCCTGGATGCCCGGTCTGGGGACCAGGAACTGAGGCGGCAGATCTGTGCCCAAAGTGCTGACTAATGGTTTTGAAACCTGTTTACTGAGGCCACGGCCCAGCCCTGGCCGAGGGAAGTTCCTGGCCTGGCTGGCTGTGTTTTGGTGGCCTCCTCCCTCCTCCACCGTCAGAGCTTTGCTGTGGCCTTAGGGGCCGTGGCTTGTGACAAGGTGACGTGTGGGAGGGCCCAGGTCCATTGTGACAGCAAATACCTGGAAGCTCAGGCACATGGTGTTCTGGGTCCAGGAGGGCCACCGCCACCCCACCCCTCCGCCCCTCCTCTCTGCCTCTTCCACCCCGTCTTCCTCTCCTTCCTCCACGTCTCCCCAGTTTCTGGAGCCTCCTGTCAGTGCGTCGCCCCGTGGGGGCCAGAGCAGCGTGGACAGCCTGTCCCTACACAGGCACGGACCCCTGGGGCCCCTTCCTGGGCCACGCCACAGGGTCCCCTCCAGGGCTCCTGGAAGTCCAGTGCTCGGGCATCTCCGGGGGGCCTGCTGGGAATCGGGCAGACAGTGGGGTGGGCCCCAGGGGACCATCTGCATGTTCCCCGGCAGACACAGGGCCCGTGCCCCCAGCCCAGTCCTTGTGCATCCCTGTGGAGCTGCACGGGCCTGGCTGTGGGCCTCTCGCGCTCCCGCCTGCGCTCCGCACCACGCCTCCTCCGCCCGGCAAGTGCCTGGGAAAGCCAGCCGGGCCCGCTGGGCTCTGGGGGCCAGGGTTCTCAGCCCCGGGGTGCGGGTTGTTCCCTGCATCCTTAAGGCTTTTATTTGAGACAAACTCAGGAAAAAATTGGCTTTTAAAAATCACTAATAAGTGATTTGGCTAAGAAAAAACAATTCCCAAACAGTTCAGAAGGCGACGTGGTAAAAAGTACCCGTCCCATCCCTGTCCAGACGGCGTCTCCCTTAGAGCCACCGTCGTAAGTTGGTTCTGGGTCTCTGGGGATGCCGTCACGAACACGCGTGTTCACGGGTGTCCTCCCCGCCACACCCACTGTTCCTAAGAACGCAGCTCGGAGAAGGTTCTGTGTCACTGCACGACTGCCCCTCGATTCCTCCCCAGAGGTCCCCACCTGGGAGCCCCGTGGTTCAGCGCCAGCCCCTGCAGCCAGGTGACTGGTCCCAGTCCTGCCCTGCCGAGTGCGCGGGTGGTGTCCTGGGGCAGCCCCTGCTCTGTCTGTGAAGTAGAGACCACAGGGTTGCGGGGACTGAGTGAGAGCAGGCAGCCTTCATTCGTGGGGACCGCCACGGTGGCGTGCGCTGCTGCTGGGACTAGGGCTGGGTGGTTATTTGCAGCCCTGGGGTGCCCTCTTCCCGGGGTTCTGAGGGGCCTGAGGCCGTCCTGGAAGTCTGGCACGCCAGCCGGTGTGGCGGCCACTGCTGCCAGCTCTGCCCCGCCGTGTGTCTGCAAACGGATCCTAGAAGAAGCATCCCTGGGCGAGAGGGATGCCTGTCGATTTGGGCAGCTGTTGCCAAATTGTCCCCAGAGAGGCAACACCAGTGGTCACGCAGCCTCGCGTCTGAGTGCCTGTCTTCCTGCGCCCTGGCCAGGAGGGGACTCTCAGACAGTTCCGTCTTGGCCCACGGGAGGAGTGGAAAACAGCGTCTCTTATGGTTTGTTTTTCATTGTGAGTGAGCTTCAGTGTCTCTCGACGTGTGGGTGAATATTGGAAATGCCTCTGTTCTCTGCACACGTTTCCAACGAGCTGAGGTTGGACACGTGGTTAAACTGCGGCTCAGGGGAGCCAGACTGCCTTTCTGCGTCCTGGCCTCACCAGTTACCTGCGTGGCCTTGGGCAAGTCACCTCTTGGGGCTTCAGTTTTCTGTTTTTGGAGGTAGGGTCTTGCTCTGTCGACCAGGCAGGAGTTCAGTGGTACGGTCATAGCTCACTGTAACCTCAAACTCCTGGACTCAAGCCAGCCTCCTGCCTCAGCCTCCTGAGTAGCTGGGACCATGGGTGTGTGTTACCACGCCTGGCTAATTTTTAAATTTTTTGTAGAGATTGGGATCTCACTATGTTGCCCAGACTGGAACCTTAGTTTTCTTGTGAAGAACGGTAGTGGAGGCTCAGTGTGGTGGCATGTACCTATAGTCCGGGCTACTCAGGGAGGCTGAGGCAGGAGAATTGCTTGAGCCCAGGAGTTCAAGATTGAGCTGGACGACATAGTGAACCCCTATCTCTGGGGGAAAAAAACCCCAAACTTTGCAGTTATGATGACAACTTTAGTATGTTAAGTGTTTAGAATTCTGCCTGTCACTTAATAAGTGCTATGTGAATATTATTGATTTATGGGAGCTGTTTATATATTAAGGAAAGCAGTCCTTTTTTGAGGTTGCAGATATATCCCCCCAGGTTGTTTGCTCTGCCCGTGGCTTGAGTGGGGTCAGGATGTAGGCCGTGTTGAAACCTGTTGGTACCAGGCTCCAGAGCAGGGTCTAGATAGTTCTGGAAATTGCTTACAAAATTGTGTGTTTATTCTGTTTGTATATCTTGAGGTTTTGAGGTTGTTATTTATATTTTTGTTGTGTTAGAGTTTTGGTAACATTTATCAGGCTAGTGTGAGTGCCTGGAAAGTGGGTCCCTTGGGTTATGCTTTTCTGAGCCCATCAGGGCCGGGGGAGGTGGCTAGAGCACCAGGTCTTCTTACTGAGGGTGGGGCGTGCGGCGTCTGGACTTGCTCTTGCACCAGGAGAGCGGCCACTGCTGGAAGCCAGGCCCGATCCCAGCCCAGTGTGCCCTGGGAGCAGGGTTGATGGCATCCCTGCTGGCGGTGGCCCCCTCCCCAGGCCAGCACGCCCTCCAGCCAGTTCCCTGCAGCCGAAGGCCTTGCTGGGCCGCCCAGATGTGGCTCACCCAGTCCCCGCAGACAGAGCCAGCCCCCTGTGGGCCACCTGCTGGTGGGGACCCGAGCCAGGGAGTGCCTGCACTCACCATTGGCCTTCTCAGGGCAGTGCCAGCCCCTGGCTCGGGGTAATGGGGCTACCGTGAGCCCAGGACTGGGAAGGACGGCTCCAGGCAGAGGTGGGACGGTCTCTGCTGCTGCTCAAGGGGGCAGGCTGTGTCCAAAGCTGTTGGTGCCAGGCTCCCAAGCAGGGGCCTGTGGAGAGGCCCGAGGGTCCAAGCAATCCTGGAAATTGTGTGTTTATTCTGTAAGTGTTTGTTGTTGTTTCTGTGCTGTTGTTTTATTTGTTTAAGACTTTTTAAATCGTGGAATACAATAAACATAATAGAAAGCGCAAAGCATCGTTGACGAAATGCTTGCCACGTAGAGCAGGCACCTGTGTGGGACAGAGCACTGTCCTGCGTCCCCGGTTGCCGGCGTCCCTCCCCATCCGGGGGAGCGCCAGTCCGCACGTTGTGGTCACTCCCGAGCTTCTCTCGGTTTCCGTCGGAGCCGGCTCCTGACACCTACAGCCCTGTCCGGCTTGTCTCGGGGCCTGGCAGTGGAATTTCAGGCGGCTTGCGTCTGAGGGGTCTGTGTTTCTGTGCGTGGCCAGCGTTGCTTTTCCATTGCTGTGCGGCGTCCCGTGGCAGGACCGTTCTGGCGTGAGTACCCCTCCCTGGGCTGGTGGACGGGGCGTGGGTCTCAGGAGTGTGTGGTTTGCGTCTCCCCACGGGGTCCCCCCAGCGCACGCTCCCCTGCACCGGACGTTTCTCCGCTTTTCCCAGGCAGGCCACGCCCGCAGAGGGCTCAGGCCACCCACTCCCTCCGCAGTGCTGAGCAGCGCTGGCCCCAGGGACCTGCCTCAGCCCCTGCGGCTGAGCGCCCAGATGGTGGAGACCGCTGTCAGGGAAGGGGGCTGGAGAGGTTGGCCGGGCCGCCAGCCCCCAGGGAGCCAGCACACTCTGGGTGGCTGCAGGTGGCTGCCAGGGCAGGAGGGTGGGCCTTCCTTTGCAGGGGGCCTGGGCAGCCTTCCCTTCTGGCAGCTGTCCACAAGAACCCAGCCTGGTGTGCAGAGCCGTTCTGTGTGGGCCGTGGCTGTGGCTTCTGCCACCTTCTAGAGCCAGGAAGGACGGCTCTGAAGGAGTTAACTAGGTCAGCGCCTGCCCACCAGGCCCAGCCCAGGATCACCAGACAGGAGTGGGGCTGGTTGAGGGTGGGGAGCTGGATCCTATTAAGTAAAGCACCTTATTGCCCCAGGGGTGGGGCAGCCTCCTACGTGCCCAGACGCCCGTGCCCTGCTGCCGGGACTCGCGGCCCTGATGCCAGCCGTGCGTGCACGTGGGGTGCCAGCTCTGTCCCCAGGGCCCCCGGGCTGGCTGCCCAGAGACAGAGACGGTGTCGGTTTTGCTCTCCCCTTCTGAAGGTTCGCTTCGTTGGGAGCCTCGGTGCGCAGGGTCCACCCAGCCGTCCGCTTCTGCAGGGACGGCCCCACAGAGCGGTCGGGAGTCAGTCTGGGCCCAGCTTTGCCGCGTGGCCAGCTGTGTGCCTCCCTCCCTGCCCCACATCTGCCTTTAGACAGGCTGCGAGATGGGGCCTCCCGGGCCGGGGTGCTGGTGCAGGGGCCTGGCGCGCCTGCTGTCGGATGCGGGTCTGCCCGTGGCCGTGTGCTGTGATGCGGCCGAGTCCCCCAGACCTGCCCCGCGGAGCTGAGCACCCCTCACAGGCGCCGGGGAGCAGTCTGGCCTTTCAGGTGTCTGAGGGGGGTGGCTTGGTGCCTGGAGCCTGCCTGGCCCCTGCTCCCCAGGGGAGCTTGTAAAAAGCAGATTTAGCCGTGCGGAGGTGGCGGAGTGGAACCCGATGCCCCGTCTGGCTTCTGGGTGGGCGAGGGCTCGGCAGCGTGGCCCTGGCTGTGAGCACCGAAGCTGTGCTCTGACCTTTACCCCCCAGGGGCCCCAGAGAGAGCCCTGAACCCTTCCCACGGGGAGGGCTGGGGGGACCCGCAGGCAGGTTGGGATGGCCCCGGGTGGATGGCAGGGAGGGGGTCGTGGGGACAGGTCTTGGGGACAGGCTGGGACTCACTGCCTCCCTGGAGCAGGTCCCCACCGGAGCTGGCCCTGGTCGGCCCCAGCTTCTCTTTCTGGTCCCTGCCAGGGCTGGAGGCAGCTCGGCCGGGCTCCCCTGGGCAGGCGATGCAGTCACTGCCAGCTGCTGGCTTGGTCTCCCTTGGCACGGCCGAGTCGAGGGTGGGGGCTCGAGCATCCTCTTGGGCTGGCGCTGCCCCTGCCCGGTGCCGGGTGGGCCTCTGCGCGTCTGTGAGGCAGGCCCTGGTTGGTGCAGGCCGGCGGCTTCCAGAGAAGGCTCCACGGGCGCAGGAGTAGCCTTGGGTGCTTCCGATGCCCTCAGCCCAGCAGGCATCTGGAGTCATGCCAGGGTGCACTGGGCGTTGGCCGGCGTGGGGTCCTGGGTCTGCGTCTCCTGAAGCCCGATGCCATGTGGGGAGGTGGACGCCACAGCCCTGCTGACCGTGTGTCTTGTGCCCAGAAGGACTTTCGTGGGGAGACCAAGCACGGCCCAGGCCAGGGGACAGCCGTGTCTCCGCTGAGTAACTGACCAGGCAGGGTGCCCCGCTGGCGGAGGGCAGCGAGGAGGCCGGAGTGCTGGGACCCCACGGCCCAGCCTGCCGTGAGCCCACTGAGGGTCTCCCGTTCCCGCGAGTGGTGCCCACCAGGGCTGCAGGGAAGATGAGGGTGGTGCGGGGCCGGGAGGGGTCTCCAGGAATGCAGGTGTTGGGGGTGTTGTCTGTGAACTCTGAGCAAGGCCAGGGCATGGGTGACTGGGGACGTGGAGCGTTCTGGCTGGAGGGGGTTGGGGATGGGGTGGGGCCGGGCTGCAGAGCGGGCAGCAGCGGGAGGGCCTCCTGGCAGGTACTGTGGGCTCCGGGGCAGAGGGCACTGGGCTATCTCTGGTGCCCTGGGGTGTCCCGGGAGAGGTGGCTTCAGTCTGTGCCTCCCTGGGCCCCCACCCTGCCCATGTCTGCGAGTCCCCTGGGCCCCCTGCTGTCCCTGTCCCTTGTCTCTGCGGGTCCTGGCTTTGCTGAGGGGGTTTGGGGCCCTTGTGGAGGGTCATGCCCTGGGGGGGGTCCCACAGGTGCTGCCTCCCGCTGGTGGGGTGACCCAGGGCGGGCGAGAGGGAGTAGGGGCTCGGGGTGCCTCGCAGCCCTCACTGGAGGGGCTGCGGGGAGGGCGGAGCAGGCTCGGGAGCAGGGAGTGGGTGTTGCATCTCTGCAGCTATTTCTGGGTCCCCATCCTTCTCCCCGCGGCCCTGGGTGGGTGGGGACCTGCCCCGGTTATCTCTCCCTGCAGCTGGCCTGGGAGGTGGCTGGGGCCTGGGTCCCAGGCCTCCCTCTTGAGGCAGGCGACGAGCCAGGCAGGGCCTGCTTTGTGGGCAGGTCCTCCCAGGCTGTGCCTGGGCTTCGGAGTCCCCCTCTGGGCCACGTGGTGTCCGAGGGGCCTGGGTGTACAGGGTGGGCCGCGTCCTGGTGGCACTGGCCTCAGCCGCCCGGGGAGCGCTCCCTCCTCAGCCTGCCCTTCCGCCGGCGCACCTCTGAGACATAGGGACGTTTCTGGGGCAAGTTGGCACACCAGGCATCACCGGCAGCTGTGTGTCTCCCCCCATCTGGGCCTGGGCCTGGGCCTCCTTTTCCTTGGTCGTGCTAGGGCAGGGACAGGGCACGTCTCGGAGGCTTGGCAGACACAGGCCTGGGAGCTGGGCTTGGGGTGGGGGCCGGGATCTCCGGCCTGTGGCTGTGGGAAGGGTCCCTCCTGCCTCGCGCAGCAGCCCCTCCTTGCTTTGGGCTGGCACACAGCTGCCCGCACCCCTTGCATCTTGGGGTATAAATTGTAGCTGCCACAGGGTAGCCCTGGACGTGCCCTGGGGACAGGGCCGTGGGGGACCTCACTCCTCAGGCTGGCAGGGCTGGCCCGCGCTTAGGCGCAGCACCGTGTGGAGGCGGGAGGGTGGCGGTTGGGGCTGAGGGGCCCAGCCCGCCTGGTTTGAGTCTGCTCAGCCCCGCGGCAGGGGCGGGGGCGGCTGCGTGAGCTGCTCCGTCCGTGGCTGGCAAGGCGGGTGCTGTGTGTGTCTGGGTGCGGGGGCTGCCTCCAGTGGCTTTCTTCATGTCACAGGGACAGAGAGGGAGGCTGTGGGTGGCTCCCGGCAGGGGTCTGTGTCTGGGCCGAGGCTGAGCAGGAGCTGGCTGGGCCCACAGTGGAGGGGAGGAGGCAGGGGGTGGCAGCCTGAGCCCCCAGACGGCCAGGTCGGCAGGGAGCAGGGCGCCTCGGGCTCTGAGTCAGCCTGGCAGCCCCAGCCTGTAATCTGTCGGCGTCGCCGATTCCGGAGCCAGGAGCTGGCAGTCCCCGGGTCTGAGGCCAAGGCCTCCCGCGCCCCTGGGCTCAGCCCTTCCCGCTGGGTGGTGCCTTCAGCCAGGAGCTGCTGCTTGCAGGGCGGCAGGCTGGGCCCCCACGAAACCGGGGGCCAGGGGGCCTTTCCTCAGTCGCGACGGAGGCCTGGGTGGCCACGACAAGCATCTGCTGCACAGCCCACGTGGCCCACGGCCGCCCCCGATTCCCGGCCACTGGCTGCTGGCTAAGGCCTGGCCGTGTGAGCCCAGTGGTGTGGGGGGCACCTGTGCATCTGTGGGGCCGTGCCTCGCACCCCCACAGCGTGGCCCTCCTTCCCACCTCTCACGGCCTCTTGTTTGTCTCGTAGGAAATGGCCAATTCCGTGTACCTGGTCATGGAGGTGAGTGCCTGGGGGCCTGCTGGGAGGACGGGGCCAGACACGTGGAGGGGGCGGCCCCGGTCGCCTGGGGCCCGGGCAGGGGAGGCGGCGTTGCCCCGTGTCTTCGGGCTAATGGCCACGGCTGGGCTCAGAGGCATGGAGGGAGGGACGGACGTGGCTGGAGTCGGGGGATGGTGATGAGGACGCAGCAGGGATTGCTGGGGACCTGTGCCCTGGGGACATCAGATGCCTGAGGGCCTAGGAAGCAGCCCCCAGGTGAGGGTTAGGAGACAGACGGGGCTGGGGGTTGGCCCGGACCCCTGGCCGTCACTGACGACACGTCTCTGGTCTTCCGCAGTACTGTAACGGCGGGGACCTGGCCGACTACCTGCACAGTGAGTGGACACGGTCACCCCGGCCCAGCCTCTGGCGCCATGCAGGGCCTTTCTCCCCCGGTGCCTCCTGGAGCGGGTGGGAGGGGGGACCTGAGCTGTTTCGGGCGCTTCTGCCACCGTCCGTCTATCTGTCTCCCACATGCCAGGTCTCTGGTCTGGGGAGCAGCGGGAACAGGATGAGCAGGTGCACTGTGGGGGCGGTGGGGGCTGCATGCGGCTGGGCAGGCACCGTCCGGCTGAGTCGAGTGGAGCTGGGTCCGTGCGGGAGCAGGATGTTGGCGCAGAGGGTGGGCGCTGGGGAGGGCGCGGGTGGGGCGGGGGCTGCGGCAGGGCTGATGGACCCTGCCGGGTGCGTCTGAGCTACAGGTGCTCGCAGGGCGAGGAGGTGAGGGGTGCGTCTGGACAGCCTTCGAGTGGGGTGTCCTGGGGGTGTGGAGGTGGCAGGGAGACAGACGATTCCGGGACTTTGGTCTGTGCATGGGCAAGGATGGGGTGGCATCTGTCCGCGTCCGCTGGAGCTGCTATTACAAAATGCCCAGACCAGGTTGTTCACAAGCAGCTTCGCCGCTCAGGTCTGAGGGCTGGGACGTCTTGGCTGAAGGAGCTGGCAGACGCTGCAGCTCCCGCAGACCTGGGAGGGGCAGAGGGGCTCTCTCAGGCCTCGTCCATGGAGGCACTAAGCCCACGGACCTAATCACCCCCAAAGGCCCCACCTAACACTGTCACCCTAGGGGTGAGGGTCTCAACACAGGAATTTTGCGGGACGCTTTCAGACCATAGCACCATTTCCAAGGTTGGGCATCCGGAGCTTCATGTTAGCCAGGTGCCGGGGGCTGTGTCTAGAGTCGGGAGAGAAGATGGGACCAGGGGCAGAGGGACCAGGGGCAGAGGGACCAGGGGCAGAGCGGGGGCTGCCGGAGCTGGGCCAGGAGGGGAGGAGCCGGCAGGGCACTGTGCTCCAGAGCCTGAGTGGGGCTCCTCCCCGGCGTCTCTGCCCTCTGTGCTGGGGCCCTGGCTGGGGACACGCTGGCTGTGGCTGAGCCGTCAGGGCAGACTCTGGCCGGAAGGGCCCCTCCTGACATGGCCGAGGCAGCGGCCAGAGCCGACAGGTGGTGTCTCGGGTGCTCTGGGCCGCCTGCGGCACCTGGCCCAGCACGTGGCCGGGGCGTGCTGGGCGCTGCCGCCCGGTGTTTGCTGTCGATCTCGTGGCCGCCACGCTGCTCGCTGGGGCTGTGACCTTCGGTGGCCTGGCAGCTCCTGGCTGGTGTTCAGGCTCCACAGGTGGCAGGTGGGGCCCAGGCCAGCTTCAGGTGCCGCTGCCTGTGGAGGCAGGGAGGGAGGTTTGGGAGCCCCGGGGCCTGGCTGGAGGACCGGTCTCTCCTGGGGCTGGTTGTAAGGGGTGCTCACACGTCCCGGGTATGTGTGTCTGTCTGTATGTCTGTCTGAGCATGTCTGCGCAGACGAGAGTGTGGGCCTCCCAGTCTCCCAGGAGGGGCTTAGTGGGGCAGTGAGGCTGTGCCCGCCTGCCTTGGCACTGTCAGGCTGGTGAGCCTGGCTCAGGGGACAGAGGGGCCTGGGGGTCTGGGCCTGGATTTTGACATTAGGTAAACACGTGCTTGCTCTTGGGGACACAGGAGGGCTGGCCTCCCCCCTGGCGGGCTGGGAGCTGCTGCAGGAGCGACAGGAGTGGTGTGTGGGTGTCTCCCCCGCCGCCTGCTGAGCGGGCGGGACCGGTCTGGCCCGGCAGCGGCGCCCAGCCAGGGTGCAGGGTGTGGGGTGAGCCCTGAGCCCTCGTCTCCCCGCAGCCATGCGCACGCTGAGCGAGGACACCATCAGGCTCTTCCTGCAGCAGATCGCCGGCGCCATGCGGCTGCTGCACAGCAAGGGCATCATCCACCGCGACCTGAAGCCGCAGAACATCCTGCTGTCCAACCCCGGCGGGCGCCGCGCCAACCCCAACAACATCCGCGTCAAGATCGGTGGGTCCCGGGTGCAGCGCGGCCCCCCCACGGCGCGCGGCCCGGGCTGCGCCGTCCTGATGCGTCTCTCTCCGCAGCCGACTTCGGGTTCGCGCGGTACCTGCAGAGCAACATGATGGCGGCCACGCTCTGCGGCTCCCCCATGTACATGGTGCGTGGTCCCCGTCCCGCCCGTCCCTGCTTCCCGCCACCTCCGCTCTGGTTGGTCGGTGCTTGGCCGGCGTCTGCTGATTGGCTGGTGCCCGGCAGGCGTGTGCTCTGATTGGCTGGCGCCTCCTTTTGGTCAGCGAGCGCGAGTGCCGCCCTGCCGCGGGGTGCCGACCGGGTCTCTGTCGCGCAGGCTCCCGAGGTCATCATGTCCCAGCACTACGACGGGAAGGCGGACCTGTGGAGCATCGGCACCATCGTCTACCAGTGCCTGACGGGCAAGGCGCCCTTCCAGGTGAGGACCCCCGCGGGGCTGGCTGGTGGGCGGCTGCGCTGCTGCTCCCGCCAACGCTCCTGCCCTGTCTGGCCATCGCCCACCGGGACCCCGCGGTCCCTCCTCGGGGTGGGCAGGCAGCCTCCTGCTCGGGCCGAGGCCGCACCGCTTGGTGGCCAGTTAGTGTAACTAGCACTTCAACGCGGTGGAGCCCAGCTGGCGCTGTGGGCACGTGTGTGCTGGGCGGGTCTCCTGGTCTTCACCCGCCCTCCCTGCCGGTGCTGGCGGTGACCTCGGGCGCCAGGGCCCTGTGCGGAAAACTGTGCCCTGCGTTGTGCGGGGACCCCAGAGGGCCAAGGCTGCGTGCAGCCAGCAGGGCAGGGCCCGGCCTCCTGTGCTGGCCTGAGCAATGAGCCTGCGTTGCTGCCCGCAGGTCCCCGCAGCGCCCCCACCCTGTCCTGTCTGGAGAGAGCTGAGCACCCAGGGGATGTCAGCCCCTGGAGGCCCTCTGCTGCGTCCCTGGGACCTGGAGGGTGTCTGGCACAGGCGGTGCTCAGGGAGTGAATGGGTGGTGGGCTGTGAGCACTTGTGCTCGGCCCAGGCCCACCAGGAGGGGCCGGTCCCTGTGACGGTGGGGGGATGTGTGGTTGCTAATTCCAAGGAGCCAACAGCCGGTGCTACCAAAGCCTTTGGATGCACCCAACGCCCAGCCAGCCTGCCTCGGGCGGAGGGTTGGTCGGCCAGCCCCCTTCCAGCCCACTGGCGGCCCAGGGGTGCTGTGCTGCACGAGCCCCAATCTGGCCGGGGGTGGGGAGGGGGCGTGTGGTCTGGGCCAGCAATCCAGACCCAGGGCTGGCTGAGGATGTCGGCTGAGACTGGACAGTGACCCGTGTGGCTGGGCCCTGCCTCCCCGGGGGCTGGGGCACTCATGCTGTCTTCACCCGCCAGGCCAGCAGCCCCCAGGACCTCCGCCTGTTCTACGAGAAGAACAAGACGCTGGTCCCCACGTAAGTGCCCTTCCCCCACGCCCAGGGGCCCTGAGCAGGCTCCGCGGTCGGCCCGGCCTCACGTTCTCGCCCCACGCAGCATCCCACGGGAGACCTCGGCCCCCCTGAGGCAGCTGCTCCTGGCCCTGCTGCAGCGCAACCACAAAGACCGCATGGACTTCGGTGAGCGCTCGCGGGCCGGGCCACCCCGGGCAGCTTGGGGGACGCACCCCTGGCACACCTCACGCTGTGCGCTCAGGCAGCATTTGCTTATTCAGGGGTGGGGGGCATCCAGCTTCATCCCCTGTACTCCCACGCCCCGCTGGGGCACTGGCCCCTCTAAGCCCAGTGTGGGCTGTGGGCACAGGCTTCGGCCACCCTCCCCTGGCCGGTGTGAGCCTGTGCACTAGACTCCTGCGGGCCCCGGAGTGGCCACCTCCAGCCCGAGGGACAGCGGTGAGTCGCCCCAGCGCTGTCGGCTGCCGCCTCCCCCTGGGCTGCCGGGCCCTGAGTTTGCAGTGGGGGCAGGTGGGCGGGCCGTGTCGGCCTGGGGTGAGATGGTGGCCAGATGTGCTCAGGAGCCGCCCGGGGGCTCTGTCTCTGTGCCCAGCGCAGTGCTCTCTGGCTGGGACAGGTGCCACAGCCAGCTGCAGTGCTGCCTCGGGCCTCGGCCCGTGGTCCCCCAGGCCCTGCGGGCGGGTCCTGCTAAGACCTCACCCCTCCCTGCAGATGAGTTTTTCCACCACCCGTTCCTCGAGGCCAGCCCCTCGGTCAAGAAGTGTGAGTGTCTGTGTGTCCCACCCTCAGGTCTGGCCCAGCCCCTCCTGCAGCCCCTGGGGGCGGGTCTCACCCCCTGTTCACCTCTGCTGGGCGGTTCTGGAGGGGTGGTGCTGCCCAGGGTCTGGTGGGTCACAGCCGGGGTGTGGCCTGGGAGGTGGTCCCACCGGCAGGCAGTGGGCGGGTGGGGGTGTGGTTCAGCTTGTCCCGCGTCTGGGTTGGCTCTGTGGGAGCAGCGTCCCCACAGGTGGCAGGACGCCGCACACTGACCCGCGCCCGCCCCGCAGCCCCGCCGGTGCCTGTGCCCTCCCGCCCCAGCTCGGGCTCCGGCAGCAGCTCCAGCAGCAGCTCCACGTCCCACCTGGCCTCCCCGCCGGTGAGTCTCAGCCCGGCCCCGGCCCACCGGGCACCTGCCTTGATGTCTTTGTCTGTGTGAGCCCTGGAAGACACTGGTGACCACGTCCTTGTGGAACGTGAAAGCGTTAGAAGTAGGCGAAGGCTTCTGCAGCGCTGGTCCTCGCCTGCGTCCCAGGGGCTGGTGCAGCTGTGCAGTGGGTGGAGTCGGGTGGAGCACCTGGCTCCCTCCCGTCTGCTGTCAGACTGGAGGTGCTGGGGGTGACAGCCCCGTGTTGTGTGCTGCGATTGGCCAGGGATCAAGCCCCGTCCGTCTGTCCGTCTGTCCGAGTACCCAGCTCCTCCCGCAGGGGCGTTTGAGTGACACTAAGTCAGTGTCCAAGTCCTCCTGGCCCACCCTGTGCTCGGAAACCAGGGGCAGGGGCACGACTGTGCTGTGACCCCCCAGAGCTGCCCGGGAGCCCTCCCGAGCGTGGTGGGTTCTGGGGCCTTAGCACAGGCCGCAGAGCAGGGACCCCCGTGGCGGCGTCTGCACTAGACACCCCCCATGGTACCCTGTTCACGTGGCTGTAGGAATGGAGAGGTGGACACCCCCAGACACAGGGCCTCCTCTTGAGCCGTGGGTCCAGGGGCTTCTTGCCACTCTGGCTGGGATGGTGGGGGTCCGTGCTAATGACTGTTCCCAGTGGGGTCAAGGCTGGCCTTGGTGTCGGCTTTGGAAATTTAAAGAGAAGAGGAAAGAGTAGCTGGCGGGAAGAACACACACCGAGCCCCTATCCTCAGCTCGTGGTGGTCCCTGGTCCTGGCCGAGGACCTGGGCCATCCCGGAGGAGTGGGATTTCCTCGCCAGGGTGTCGGTCCCGGGGCCCCAGCTCACCAGCCCCCCCTCTGGCCCCCAGTCCCTGGGGGAGATGCAGCAGCTGCAGAAGACCCTGACCTCCCCTGCCGATGCCGCCGGCTTCCTGCATGGCTCCCGGGACTCGGGTGGCAGCAAGGACTCCTCCTGTGACACGGATGACTTCGTCATGGTCCCGGCCCAGTTTCCAGGTCTGGCCTGCCGGGCGGGGGAGGGCCTGTGTGGTGTCTGTGGTGAGGGAACACCTTGGACGTGTCGGACACGGACACGGACACTGCGTGTGTGGTCCAGACTTGTCCCCACCTGTGGGCAGTCAGGACGGGCTTCTGGGAGCTTCTGGCAGCAGCCAAGCTTGGCTGGGAAGGCCGTGTGCTCACGCCACTCCTGGGGCAAAGCCACGTCCTCTCGGTGGCTGTCAGGTAGTCAGTGGTCCAGGCCCTGGTCCTGCCACCCTGGGCCAGGCCCCTCCTTGCAGGGTGTGGCCGCCCCTCCAGGGCCCCCCATTGCTCCCCTTTGCGCACCCTTTGCTTATCGGAAGCCTCCGCACCGCAGCGGTCTGGCGTTGCCCCCTCGGCGTTTGGTGGATGCAGGTGTCCCAGCTTAGCGGGCCAGGCCTGGGGGTCCACGGTGCCTCTTGGGGCCCCACGTGCTGGCAGCTCGCTCTCTGTCCTCGGCCATCTGGAGACTGCAGGGACTAGGGATCCCTTGGCGCTGGCCCTGGTGTCCACCAGGAGTGAGTGGTACTTGCTGAGCCCCTGGGCACCTGCCTTCAGCCCGGCTCCGGGGGCCCCCACCACTCAGGACGGCAGGAACCTGGTGTTCTGGGGTTTGGGGTTTGGGCCCCGACTAGGGCCCGTGGATGCCTGGCCTCATCCTCCCACCTGGAGTTGGCTGAAGGCCGAGTGCCAGGGACCCAGGGTCTCTGCAAGGCCCAGGAGAAGGAGTGCAGTGCGGGTGGGGAGGAGCAGGGACTGGGGCGCCCTGGCCTCCCCGGGACTCGGAGGGGCTGCCACACCCCCAGCCGAGGCTGCTCCCTGCACAGGGCTGGCCCTGCCTGCACCCACCACTCTGGGGAGAAAGTCGTGGGGGCCTTGGCGGGGTGGGTAGGCCTGAGTGGGCAGAGAGGACTTGGGGTCTAGCCCTGTTGTCTTCCACCCGCAGGTGACCTGGTGGCCGAGGTGGCCGGTGCCAAGCCTCCGCCGGACAGCCTCATGTGCAGCGGGTGAGCCCCTCCCTGAGCCTTCTGTTTTGGGGATGGGAAGTGGCCGTGTCACCCGCCTGGCTCACGCCTGCTGCAGTCAGCAGGGGGAGGGCTGAGCTGACAGCACCCGCCTGGGGCCGGGCAGGGAGCGCTGGGGCATGTGCCGCCCTTGGCTTGACAGCCCTGCCTGGCCTCTCCCTCTCCAGGAGCTCGCTGGTGGCCTCTGCTGGCCTGGAGAGCCACGGCCGGACCCCGTCCCCATCCCCACCCTGCAGCAGCTCCCCCAGCCCCTCAGGGTAAGGCCCCGGAGAGGGGGGCTCCCCGCCAGTGTCACGGCCACCCTGGCCTGTGTGTCCAGGGCCTGCGTGGGTGGCCCTGCAGAAGGGACTGTGGGGGAAGGGCCTTGATGGAGGGTGGGCAGGTGAGGGAGCCAGCCTGGGACCCAGGACCAGGGCAGAGGCAGCGTTGCCACCGCACGCCTACTGGGCTAGGCTGGCCCGGCTGCTGTGCTGCGGTGCCGCCCGCTGGCTGGGCACAGGCTGGGCCCACAGTGCCGCAGTGGCAGCGCGTGCGCAAGTATGAAAGTTGCCCCTTCCAGAGCTGGCGGGCGGCCCGGGGTGGCCCGTGTCCTGGGGGGCTGGGCCCAGGCTTCACCGTGGGCTCGATCTCCGTGACCCCAACCTCCCCCCCAACAGCCGGGCCGGCCCGTTCTCCAGCAGCAGGTATGGCGCCTCCGTGCCCATCCCGGTGCCCACGCAGGTGCAGAACTACCAGCGCATCGAGCAGAACCTGCAGTCGCCCGCCCAGTACCAGACACCCCGGTGAGTGCAGGGGCCCCACGGATCCGGGCACGTCTCCTGCTGCTGCCCCTTGGAGAAGGGCAGGGCTGTTGCGCATGCACAGTTGTGCGGGCCGTGCACTGTGTAACTCAGCAACACCCTTCGCTTTGTCAACACAGTGGGATTCTACTTATTCTGACGTTTTTCTGGTAAATTCCAGCAAAGTTTCTTAAGTTTACAAAATCTGTACTTTGGCAAATTTCAACAGATAGAAGTAAATGGAGGGAAAGAGAGCTGTTTTAAAAAGGTGTGGGCTGGTGGTTGTCCTCGCTGGGGCTGTGGCCTCAGGGTGACGGTGCCTTGGGAAACGCTGGGATGCCCCGGGTCCTGATTGTCACCCCAGGCAGGACAGCTAAGGGTTCAGCCCCTCCCACGTGGCTCTCAGCGAAGCTGTCTGGGCAGCGCACAGTGGTGGGAGAAGCGCCCGGTGCCGTGCTAGCCACGTGGGGGCTCCTCACACGCTTGTCCGCAGGTCCTCCGCCATCCGCAGGTCGGGCAGCACCAGCCCCCTGGGCTTCGCCCGGGCCAGCCCGTCGCCCCCAGCGCCCGTGGAACCCGGAGCCGTGCTGGCCAGGAAGTCGTCCTTGGGCGGGGGCCGGCCGTACACGCCGTCTCCCCAAGGTGAGCTGGGGGTGGGGCGCGAGGTGGTGCCCTGTCCCGGGCTGACGCTGGCCTTTCTCCCCCAAGTCGGGACCATCCCCGAGCGGCCGGGCTGGAGCGGGTCGCCCTCCCTGCAAGGAGCCGAGACGCGGCCTGGCAGGTCCCCCCGTGCAGGTACGTGCCGCCGTGCTCCGGTCCGCAGCCCTTGTTCCTCACAAGTAGAAAGACAGACGAGGGGCTGGCAGCCCCCACCTTGTGCCGTGGGCCTGCAGTGGCTTTCGTAGTTCCTCTGCCTGTTGCCTTAGGTGGCAGAGAGTAGGCGTCCCCTCCGGGCGTGGCCGGGGTCAGAGGGGTAACTGAGTTTAGGCCGTGCTGCCCGAGAGGCCCCGCACAGCGGTCAGGGCAGCGGCGGCGCTGTCCCGTGGGGCGGGCAGTGACGGGGCCGCCCTGTCCGCAGGCTCCTCTGCGCCCGAGCACTCTCCCCGCTCCTCCGGCCTGGGCTGCCGCCTGCACAGCGCCCCCAACCTGTCCGACCTGCACGTCGTCCGCCCCAAGCTGCCCAAGCCTCCCACGGACCCGCTGGGAGCCGTGCTCAGCCCCCCGCAGGCCAGCCCTCCCCAGCCGTCCCACGGGCTGCCGTCCTGCCGGCCCCTGCGCGGCTCGCCCAAGCTGCCCGACTTCCTGCAGCGGAACCCCCTGCCTCCCATCCTGGGCTCCCCGACCAAGGTAGCGGGCGCCCGCAGCACACTCTCCAGAGGCGCAGAGCGCCAGGAGAGGGATGGGGTGGGAGTGGCCGCCCGCGGGGTGCTGGGGCCGCTCTGTGCTGCGGTCACATCCCGGCCCCCAGCTGGGCCGGGCTCAGGCTGCGTCTCTGCCGGGCCCTTCAGATGCGGCCGCGTTCCCCGGCCCTCACTGTGCCGAGAGGGGCTGCGGGCTGCGGGCGGGGCGACTCAGAGCCATCCCCCTCCTAGGCTGTGCCCGTGGTCGACTTCCCCAAGACCCCCAGCTCCCAGAATCTGCTGACCCTGCTGGCCCGGCAGGGCGTGGTGGTGACACCACCCCGGAACCGGACGCTGCCCGACCTCTCGGACATGGGGCCCTTCCAGGGACAGCAGCTGGGCTCCGGCCTGCGGCCCAGTGAGGACAGCAAGGGCCCCTTTGGCCGGTGCGTGGGTGTGGGGGGGCCACAGACACTGGGCTCTTGGTGGGTGGCCCCCCAGGGTGGTCCTGCTGTGAGCTGCAGGGGGTGGGAGAGGAAGCGGGCGTTGGAGAGCCGTGTCCACTTCTGGCAGGCTTCGCCCTTCTGGGCCCCCGCGCTGCCGTGAGACGCGGCGGTGCCTTCCTCGCAAGGGGGCGGGCGGGTGTGCCTGGCCTGAGGGAGCGCCAGGGAGGTCCGGTCGGGGCAGGCTGGGCCCAGGCCCCTGTGGCACGTGTCCCAGAGCCCTGCGGTCACCGTGCCCCCAGGTCCTTCAGCACCAGCCGCCTCACAGACCTGCTCCTGAAGGCCGCGTTTGGGACGCAGGCCCCCGACTCGGGCAGCACGGACAGCCTGCAGGAGAAGCCCATGGAGATCGGTGCGCGGTGGGGGCTGCCGTGGGATGAGGGAGGTGATGGCGGGACTCAGGCAGCCGGGACAGCCTGCAGGAGCAGCTCATGGAGATGGGGTGCACGGCGGGGCTGGGGGATGGGACTGGGGGGACGCGACCTGAGCCCCTCCTCGCCCTCGCAGCGCCCTCTGCTGGCTTCGGAGGGAGCCTGCACCCGGGAGCCTGCGCAGGGGGCGCCAGCAGCCCCTCCCCGGTGGTCTTCACCGTGGGCTCTCCCCCCAGCGGGACCACGCCGCCCCAGGGCCCCCGCACCAGGATGTTTTCAGGTGAGGGCTGGTTGGGGCGGTGTCAGCAGCACCTGGGCTGTGGGCAGCTCCTTCAGCTCTGGCGTCGCTGGACTCCTGCACCCCAGGGCCTGGCGCTGGCCAAGGAGCTGCCAAAGGCCCCTGAGAAATCCATGCTCAGTCTCCCCCTCTGTAAAGTGGGTACAGCCCTGGTAGCGGAGCCCCAGGCGCCTGTGCCAGTCACTAAGCGTGAGGCATCGTCTTGCCAGGACAGGGGCCGGGACGCTGCCATGCTGCTGTGGAGGCTGCCTAGGCCGAGCACAGCGCGTGAGCCGGTGTGCCCCTCGGTTCCCGGCCCGCGGCTCACGGGGAGTGCTGGGTCCGGGTCCTGGCAGGGTGGGAGGGTCCGGTCCAGCCAGCGGCTGCCACAGGGGTCCTGCCACCCGTGGAGGGGCCGGTGGGTTGTGCTGCCCTCTCTGAGGACCCCGGGGCCCCGCCTCTCCCAAGTGCAGGCGGCTCCAGCTGCCCTCGCTCACCCCAGGCAGATCGGGCTCAGGTGTCAGGAGCACAGTGTCCCTGCGACGTGGACCTTGGCCTGGTGGGAGGGCAGGCAGGCGGGGGCGTCCCGTGGGTCCCGGCTCCACTGTGTCTGCTGCTGTGGCCGCAGGGCGTGGTAGCACGGAGCCCGAGGCCGGCTGGGGCGCTGTGGGCGTGCGCGGGGCTTGGGGCGGCGCCCTGAGTGGGTCCTGGGGCTGCTCACTGGCCGCTCCCCACAGTGGGCTCCTCAGGCTCCTCCTCCGCCCGCCACCTGGTGCCCGGCGCCTGCGGCGAGGCCGTCCCCGAGCTCCCCGGCCACTGCTGCACCTTTGCCGACCCCATCGCCGCCAACCTGGAGGGGGCTGTGACCTTCGAGGCCCCTGACCTCCCCGAGGAGACCCTCATGGAGGTGAGGCTGGGCTGGGGGAGGCAGGCCCCCGGGGGGCTTCCATTCCTGCTGGGGTGTGTGCGGGGCCGAGGCCCCCTGCCTGTGCCGCGGGTGGGGGGATCCCGGCCCCCTCCCGGCCCTTGGCCAAGCCCCTGACCCCGCTCCTCCCCAGCAAGAGCACACGGAGACCCTGCACAGCCTGCGCTGCACGCTCCTGTTCGCGCAGCACGTCCTGGAGATCGCGGCCCTGAAGGGCAGCGCCGGCGAGGCGGCCGGCGGCCCCGAGTACCAGCTGCAGGAGAGCGTGGTGGCCGACCAGATCAGCCTGCTGAGCCGCGAGTGGGGGTGCGTGTGGGCCGGGGCTGGGGGTGGCGTCAGCCTGGGGGCCAGGTCCTGCGCCTTCTGACACCTGCCGCCCTCCAGCTTCGCGGAGCAGCTGGTGCTGTACCTGAAGGTGGCCGAGCTGCTGTCCTCGGGCCTGCAGACGGCTATCGACCAGATCCGGGCTGGCAAGCTGTGCCTGTCGTCCACCGTGAAGCAGGGTGAGGGCCGAGGGCGCCCAGGGTGCAGGCCCGGCCACGTCCAGGCAGGGGAAGTGGTGCAGGGCAGGGGCCGGGGCCTGTGGCCGTGGGCAGAGATGTGGGCGACGGGGAGGCCCCCACCAGGCCCCGGGCACGGCCCAGCCTGCAGCGCAGAGAGGGAGTCAGACGCGTCCGGGCCGGGTGCTGGGCCGAGCCTCTCACCGAGGGATGGGGAGGGCCAGGGATGAGACGGGGAAAGGGCTAGTTCACTCTCTCCCCTCTGCCGCCCGCCCTCCTGCTCTCTCCTGCTCTCTAACGCTCACGCCCGCCGCGCCGGGTGCTCGGGCAGAGCCAGCCTCCCCCGCGGTGTCCCTGCCCCGAGCCCTCTGCCCGCAGAGGGAGGGCCGGCGCTGAGCGGCCGTCCCCCACAGTGGTGCGCAGGCTGAACGAGCTGTACAAGGCCAGCGTGGTGTCCTGCCAGGGCCTGAGCCTGCGGCTGCAGCGCTTCTTCCTGGACAAGCAGCGGCTCCTGGACCGCGTCCACAGCATCACTGCTGAGAAGCTCATCTTCAGCCACGCCGTGCAGATGGTATGGGGCGGGGGAGCGCGGCCCAGAGCTCCCGAGCTGGCGCTGTCCGCCCTGGGGGCGGGACTGGGCGCCCACCGCGTAGACTGCGGGGCGTCCCTCCCGACTCCGCGCTGGCACCTGGGGGGCTCGGGAGAGCGCGTGGTGCCCCAGCTTCCCCCAGACCCCTGCAGGCACCCGGTGCCCGGCGCGGCTTCTGACCCCCTTTGCTGGGCCCGGCACGTCCTCTGTGCACACTGCACGGCTCAGGCGGGTCCTGGCCGCATCCCTCCCTGAGACTCAGTTTCCCCGCCTGTAAAATAGACCTGGTCTTAAGACCTCTTAGGCAATTCAGCCTCCAAAAGAACGACTAGGGTGGGGTGCAGGCAGCACCTCTGTTTCAGGAAAATTCACGCACACAGCGAAAATCCAGCCCCAGCAAACGTGGGGGCAGAGCTTCCCCCTTCTCGATCCCCAGCCTCGCTCCCCCTCTGACAGAGCGACCTCAGGCCCCTCCAGGGTGGGCTGACGGTGCTGCAGCCGCCCCAGCACAAGCAGCTGCACACACAGGGGGCTATAGCGTTCGTGCCGCCCTTGGCTGCTGGTCGAGGGTCTGGCACTTGGGGGCTGCGGGAGGCTCCGGGCCCAGCCTCCGGGCCCAGCCTCCGGGCCCAGCCTCCGCCCTCGCCCTGCAGGTGCAGTCGGCCGCCCTGGACGAGATGTTCCAGCACCGAGAGAGCTGCGTGCCGCGCTACCACAAGGCCCTGCTGCTCCTGGAGGGGCTGCAGCACATGCTCTCGGACCAGGCAGACATCGAGAACGTCGCCAAGTGTGAGTGTGCGGGGCTGCCGGTGGGGGTGGGGCCCGGGCACCCGCCTCACGCTCCCTCCCTCTGCCCCCAACACAGGCAAACTGTGCATCGAGCGCAGACTCTCCGCCCTGCTGACCGGCATCTGTGCCTGACCTCGGCGCTGGCCTGCTGTGCCCCAGGGGTCAGCGTGCTGGCCGGACGTCGCTGGTGGCCAGTGCTGAGCCTCCCTGCGGGACACCGAGTGGAGCCACGCAGCTCCCGCCCCCTGGGCTTCCGGCTGTGGCGGGCGTGGACTGCAGGATGCTGGGTCGGCCACTCCCCGCACGCGGGAGTCTCAGAACTTGTCCGCTCCAGCTGCCTCACGGCAGCCGCCGGTGCCAAGAGGTGGCAGGTATACCTGGGCGCCCACCACCTCGGGAGACCCAGGGCCGCCCGCAAGGATGGGCAAGGCCCCGAGACAGCGTTGCCGACTCAAAGCCAAAGCAAGCTTTTCCTCACGGCCAGACCTGCCCAGTCGCCGCCAGGAAGAGGTGCAGCCTCCTGGCCTCTCCCCCAGGAACCTCTCTGAGACCACCCACCCAGCTTTGCAAACCACGAGCACTTTATGCAGTTAGAGACTTGAGCCTCGGCGTCCTCTCTGGCCTCCGGGAGGTGACTCCTGGAGGTCGAACCGAGGCGACTGTGCATATCCACATACGTGTACACAGCTGTAGATAGCCCCGAGCGTGTGGCGTGTGCGAGTGGTGCGCTGGGCGTGTCCAGCGCGCGTGTGTGGACCTTGGGAGGAAAGCGGGCTCCGTGTGGTGGGGCCACGGCCCGGAGGGGAGGCACGGTCCCCTTGCTCAGATGTTCGTTTAGGGACAGACAGCGGGACGCTCCGTGCTTCTAAACCCGGAACAGACGTCGTCATCTTTCACACTTTACTCCTGAAACGTGTCTTATTTTCATGCAGCTCATCTTTTCTTTAAAGGAGAAAACTCGTAGGTATTTCAGAAATGGTTTTGGAGGCAGATGGTGCTGGGGTGGGTGGCGAGGCCCCTTTCCAGGCTGCTGGGTGCGCCCGGCTCTCTGTCCCCCGCCGTCCTGCCCCGTCCTGGCAGCCGGGGTGGGGGGCGTGTGCCCAGCAGCCGTCCGGCCTGAGCATGGGCCAGCAAGGACGGCACACGTGGGAGGCAAGTCACGTGTGTAGCCCCAGCCAGCATCCCGGGCGGGGGGCGCAGGGGCTCCTCTCCGCACTGGGGCTGGTGTGGTCCCGTCCCTCCCAGCCGCGTCCCAGCAGCCGCCACGGGGTGGGGAGAGGCCACCCGGCCTGCCCACTTCTACTTGAATGTATCCCCAGGGGGCTGCGGGAGGCACGCTGGGTCCCGCACCAGGGCGAGGGGCTCAAAGGTCATACGCCACACACACAGACGGGACACACGTGTTTTTCTTTGCAATACTTGAAATATTGCCACTGTGCTTGGACTTAAAATAGAAAACTACCCCAACTTGTTTCTTTTCTCATCACTCGATGACTTTATTTTTACCTGGCTGCACGTGACATGTTCGTATTTATTACTTTATGGCCGACTGGAATCTGGAGCCGCCGGGGAGGCTGGCGCTGCGGGAGGGGCTGCGCCACTTCCTGGGCCCTTGTTGCTTCTGTCGCGGCCGTGTGAGCCCCGCGTGTGCGTGAGTCGGAGCCTCCTGGTTGTGTGTTCTCCACGAGAGACCCTTTGTCTATTTTAAAACGAATTCTGTGTGATCTCCCCTTTTGCGTTACATTGTGTAACGTCAATTTAAGGAAATAAACCTTTGGAATTACTGAGCTGCGTTACGGTCGCCGCGGTTGGCTTGTCACTGTCCTCTGCGTCCCTTCGCTTCCCTCCCCAGACGTCTCGCAGGGAGGGCCTGTGTCCTGTGGCCCAGGCAGCCCCGGGGCCCAGCACAGGTGCAGCTTGGGGAGCAAACCCCTGGGCAGAAGCTGGGGGTATTTGGGGACGGCAGGGTGGGTCTGTCACTGTGTCCTTCCCCAGCCGGAGGCCCAGTGGGACGCAGCTCGCAGGGGGCTGAGCAGGTGGGGGCAGCGCAGAGCTTGGCCGTCCGAGGACACCTTTCAACCCTTGGATACACCTGGGGGACCCTCGGGGTCGTGAGGAACTCCGTGTTTAGCTTCCAGGGACCACAGGCCGCTCACCGCGGCGGCACCATCGTCCCGCTTGCACTCTTGGTCTGAGCGCTCTGATCGCTGCACTGCCAGGCCTTCGCTTCGGTGGTAGCGTCCTCAGGGGTGTGAGGTGGCGTGTCGCCGTGTTGGCTTGTGTGTCCCTGATGGCCACAGGTGTTGACCGTCTTTTCGTGTGCTGTTGGCTGTGTGCCTTCCGTGGAGGAATGTCTACGTCCTTTCCCGTTTTCTTTGAGATAAGATCTCGCTCTGTTGTCCAGGCTGGAGAGCACTGGTGCTGTCGTATCTCATGGCAGCCTCCAACTCCTGGGCTCAAGGGATCCTTCTGCCTCAGCCCCTCGAGTAGCTGGGACTACAGGTGCAGACCACCACACCTGGCTAATTTTTAAGATTTTTTGTAGAAATGGGGGTCTCACTATGTTGCCCAGTCTGGTCTCAAACTCTTGGCCTCAAAAGACCCTTCCAGCTTGGTCTCCTCACATGCTGGGATCACAGGCCTGAGCCACCGCCTGGACTGTGCCTACTTCTAAATTGGGTTGTTTGCCCAGGGCTTGCATTTTCAAATCTACATGTTGTTTTTATCAGATAAAAATAACTCGTCAAAAAACCACTAACCCAAATATTAGAAATGAAAGTTCATTGAGAGTTTGGCCTTTGAGAGGAAGTGGAAGGTGGAGACCTCGAAAGTCAGCGTCCCGGGCGGGGCAGCTTCCGACCGGGCTTCCTCAGACAGGAAGGGTCACGCCTGCACGCAGCCCCCGTGTCCCGTAGGCACAGGGAAGGCCCAGACGGGCTCACCGTGACCGTGGCGTCTGGTTGGTGTTAAACCAGCGGACTTCACTTCTTGGAGCATTTCCAGGTTCGTGGGAGAGCCGAGCTGAGCATGGAGTCCCATGCACCGTCCCCAGCTGCGTGTGGTCTGCTGGGCTCGCTCTTGAAGCAGGGCGGTACTGTCACCAGCCAGAGGCCGTGGTTCATGTTAGGGCTTCGACAGACCCCGCCTGCTCACCCCGAGCCCCGCCCCGGCCCCGCCAAGCTCCGCGTGTCCCCGCAGCTCTCCCGAGTGCTGGAGCCGGGCCACGCGCGAGTGGCCTTTTCAGACGGCTCCTTCACCTTGCGGCGGGTATTTAAGTCTCCTCAGCATCTTCTCACGGCTTGATGGCGCCTTTCTTCCTAGCGCCGACCAGCACCCGCCTGGGTGGACCGCAGCGCCCGTGCGCCCACCTGTGGAGGACGGCGCGGCTGCTTCCCCCGGACTGTTACACACAAAACCGCGTGGCCTCCGTGTGCAGGAGCCTAATGGCGTGGGTGGGCCCAGGGGGGCTGGGGCCACACGGGAAGGACTGGCCCCTTCTCGGGGACCTCGCCCTGCACACTCCGGGCACGTGGGGACAGGGCACTCAGCCTGCACCACCACGGCCCTGCAGCCCCCAGGGGCCTGGCACACCCCAGCTCTCAGTTGACCCCACACACAGGAACAGGTGTGGTCGGCCGAGTGGCCCCACATTGGTGCGAGCCCCGTCCTACCTGTCACCTGTGTGTTGGCCGGTCAGGTGGAGCTCGAGGTGGGGACTCAGCATGGCAGCTGTGGGGGCGCTGCCCTGCAGACCAGCCTCCACCCAGCCAGCACCTTGACCTTCCTGGTCCGGGTGGGCGGGCAGGTGGAGGCTGACGCCTCTCCCAGTAGCACAGCCCAGAGCTGGGAAGGAGGGTGAGGGGACGCCGAGGTGTGCAGCCAACAGGGAGGGCCTCCGTGTAAGTGGCCGTTGCTTCCGGACACTCGGTGCCCCTCACCTTGCTCCCGGAGCCTGGGCCAGGGGGAGCTGTCCTCGCGGGTCGTTGGCACGGTGAGCCGCCCTCCCCACCTGGACCATTGTATGGCCTTTCTGTCTCCCCGTCCCGCCTTGGCCACCGACCCCTCACAAGGCCCACAGCCCACCAAGTGCTCCTTGGAAAGGGCCATCTGATCAGGTCCTTCTGGGACGCCCATATCACTCAGCCACAGCCAAGTGCCGCCCCACCGCGGCCCACAGGCCCCCACAGCCTGGCCCTGGCTCCTGTGGCCTCATTTCCTGCGGCTGTCTCCTGTCACCTGCATCCAGAGGCTTCCCTACCCGCGTGCGGACTCCAGGTGGGCATGTCCCCCAGCCTGCCGCCTCCCACCTGCCACCTGCAGGAAGAGGCGCAGCAGGAGGAGGGCTGGGTGGGACCTGCCACATCCCGACATGCTCCTGCCCGGGGCCTGTGCCTGGAACACTCTTCCCTCAGATACATGCACAGCTCACACCTCCCCAAATGCAAGCTTGTGGTTGCCGAATTGTGGCCCCCAGAGATGGGGTTAAGGGTCTTTTTTTTTTTTTTTTGAGACAGAGTCTTTCACTGTTGCCCAGGCTAGAGTGCTGTGGCGTTTCCAACTCCTGGGCTCAAGCGATCCTCCCGCCTCAGCCTCCCGAGTAGCTGGGACTACAGCACCACCACGCGATTTATTTATATATATATAATTTCTTTTTTTTTCTTTCTTTTTTTTTTTCTTAGTTGCCTGGCTAATTTTTTTCTATTTTTAGTAGAGATGGGGTCTCACTCTTGTTCAGGCTGGTGTTGAACTCCTAAGCTCAAGCGATCCTCCCGCCTCGGCCTCCCTGAGTGCTGGGATTATAGGCACGTGGCCGGGATTAAGGATCTTGAGCTGGGAGATGACACAGGGTTATCCAGGTGGGCGCAATGTCATCACATGAGCCTTCGCAAGGGACAGGAGGGTCCGTGCAAGAGGAGGTGTACAGGTGGAAGCAGAGGGTGGGGTGGTGCCACTGGGGGCCAAGGAACTCGGATGCCTCCAGAAGCTGGGAAGGCAAGGAGGCGAACGGACTCTCCCCGGAGCTGCCGGAAGGAGCCAGCCCTGCAGACACCTTGACTTTGGCCCAGCAAAGCTGATTTGGGACTCCAGAAACTCGAGAACGTGTGTGTTGTTTTAAGCCACCAAGCTTGTGGTCATTTGTTACGGCAGCCCCAGGAAATGAGTGGAAACCGTCGCTCAAACCTCGGCTTCTCAGCGAGGCCCTTGGTGACCAGCAGCCCCCCAGACCTGGGCACAAGGGGCCTGCCGGGTCCAACTCCAGCCTCCCGGCCGTGCTCCTTCCTGCGAGTGGGCCGTCGCAGGGGCCAGGGGTCGTGCCCGCCCGAGATCTGCAGTCCCCCTTGTGGACCATCCTCGGGTGCTTGGGACCCTTCCCTAGCCTTGACCGTGGCAGGGGAGGTGCTGCCCCCAAGGGTCGGGGCAGAGATGGGGCGTGCGAGGAGGGGCCCATTGTGTTCCTGGGGCGCCTTCCAGCGTGGGGAGAGGGTGGGCCTCGAGCTGGGGGCCAGGTGCCTGCTCTGCCGAGAGTACCTTGCTTCCCCAGGCCCCGGCAACACACTGTGGAGGTGGGGTTCCGCACACTCTATTCAACAGTTGTCACCAAGGCACTGCGCCCGCCCGGGCAGGCGCCTCGCGTTGTCATCTGTACAGTGGGGACGTGAGAACCAGGGCTGCGTGAGGGTCGAGCAGCTACGGTTTCCCGCGGTGGGGACAGCACGCAGCAGTGTTTTGCTGCTGCCGACGTGTGAGGGCAGACCCGGGCCCGCGCTGGTCCGCAGCTGCCTGAAGACTGGCTGAGCAGTCCCGGGAACAGCCGGTGCTGTGTGACTTCAGGCAAGGGCCTTAACCTCTCTGTTCCTCAGTTTCTTCTTCAGAAACGGAGACGATAACGGTGCTTGCTGCGTAGGGTGGGGGCAAGGGTTGAGTGAGCGAACGTGCGTGTGGGCCGTCACTATTCTAAGCATGCGCACACGGGCGCAGGCCCAGCGCGCGGTTTTAACCCCGGCTTCGCTTTGCCAGACGCGGCGGCGCGGGGCGGGGCGGGAGGAGAGGGGCGGGGTCCGCCCCTGACGAGGCCCCGCCCATGCCCGGGCCGCGCCGGCCCCGCCCCTTCGCCTCCGAGGACGTTTGTCCGCGCTCGGCCGCCGTCCGTCGCTCGTTCCACTTCCGCCTTCGCCCACGTGGTCCGGCTCCGACTCGGTCCGCGGCGCCGTGAGTGGGGCCAGGCGGGGGGCGCGCCCCTCTGGTCCCGACGCGGGTGGCCCGGTTCTCCCCGACTCCTGAGGAAAGCCCACGGGCGGGGCGGGAGGGGTGGGACTCAGGAGGTCAGAGGTCAGCCTGGGGGGGTCAAGGGGCGTTGGAGGTTAGCCGTGGAGTAAGGCCGTTGGGGTCCCGGCGAGATTAGAGTTCAATAGGGGTGGGGCTGTGGCGTCGGGGTCCAAGAAAGGTCAGAGTTCAGCAGCGTCAGGATCCCGGGGAGGTCAGGGGTCAACAGGAGCGGGACTGCGACACGGGGTCCCTGAAGGTCAGGGGTCAGCAAGAGAGGAGCTAGGACATCAGGGGTCCCGGGAGGTCAGGGGTCAGCAGGAGCGAGGTTGGGATATCGGGAGTCCTGGGAGGTCAGGGGTCACCAGGGTCGGGGCCAGGGAACCCCACGTCCCGGGCGGTCAAGGGTCAGCGGGGCCTGGCAGCAGGGTCCCAGCAGGGGCGGGGCCCGTAGGTCAGCCGTCAACGGGGTCCGGGGGCGGCGAGGCCCGGGAGGTCAGGGGTGGGCGGGGCGGGGCCAGGTAGCGGGACCCGTAGGTCAGGGGTCAGGGCAGCGGGGCCCGAGGAGTTGGGGGCGGGGACAGGGCAGCCGGGCCCGTGGGTTAGGGGTCGGCGGGTCACGGGTCAGGGGTCGGGGTCGGGGTCAGGGCCTCGGGGTGCATGGGCCTGCCCGGCCTGCGGGCCGTGGCCGGGGCGCTGCGGCGGGGGACAGCCTGCGGACCGTGGACCGCGCGCCCGCTCCGGTAATGCCGCGACTCCCGACCCCCCTGCGCCCCGCCCCCGGCCCGGCGCGCGGCCTCGCGCACTGACAGCCGCGTCTTTGCAGCTCGCCCCGCATGGCCGGGAACGTGGAGGCGCCCGCGCCCGCGGGGCCCCAGCACCCGCCGGACAGGAGGGCGCGGGGCGGCTGGCCGGGCGGCGCCCGGGCCTGGGAGGACGCGGAGCACCAGGCCAAGAGGCCCAGGGGCAGCGAGGAGGAGGAGGAGCGGCGCCGGCTGCCCAAGCGCAAGATCGTGCTGCTCATGGCCTACGCGGGCAAGGGCTACCACGGCATGCAGGTGCGGCTGGCCCCCTCCCACCGCGCCGCCTCCGGGGGCTGCGTGCGGTTCAGCGAGGTCGGATTCAGTCCGCCCCATGAGATTCTGTGCTGACCACGGGCAGGTAGTCAAGGGCCCAGCCCTGCGCTGAAGCTCTGTGATCTGCCAAGCACGTGCCTCTGTGCCTCAGTTTCCTCATCTTTAGGGTGGGGACGCTCACCTGCCTACCTGCGAACGAGGGTGCGGAGGTGCACCGATGCTAAGTGGCCAGCACCTGTTGCTGCTGGTCGTGTGTGTGAAGGGCACAGTTGGGTGTCAGCTCAGGGATGAGGTCTGTGGGTCTGGGGCGGGCAGTCACCCCTCGGGTCTACGCAGAGCATCAACAGGATCCTTTTCTGGAAGGTGGGGGTGAGGGCTCCCCAGCCAGTGCAGGTAGATGGGCTTGTTCCTTCTCGTGGCAACTCCCTGGTTCTCACTTTGGTACCGAGTTCTTTAAACTTCTCTAACCCCTAGCCCCAAGCGATCCTCCCGCCTCAGCCTCCCTAGCCGCTGGGACTACAGACGTGTGCCCCCCTGAGCCCGCCTCGTGTTCTTTAAATTTCTTTTAAGCATGACCCACAGTAAGAAGTGCACTGCTGTTTGTGGAGTATCCAGCTGAAATAAGGGCTTAAGAAAACGATGCTAAACCTCACCAGCTGTTATTAGTGAATTGCTGGTGTGTGCTCATCCCAAGAAAATTGGCACAGGGACCACTGTGAACTGAAGGGATTAGGAAGAGCCAGGGATGTCCAACCGGCCCTGACTGGCAGTGTCACCTGGCAGAGGATGGTGATGAGGGAGGGGCCGCCCCTCTGTGGCCGGGTGCTACACACAGAGGTGGGCCTGCGCAGGAGGCAGTGCTGGCCTATTCTGGGGCTGGTTTCAGATCTGACCGGGTGGGAGGAGGTGTCTCGGGGACACAGGTGCAGTCCCGGTGCTGTGTGTGTGTGCACACTGCACACGCCTGGACACAGAGCAGCCCAGGCCCAGGGATAGTGACTGTAGGAAGACAATCTGTTTTCGTCTCTTTTTTCCAGAGGAATGTTGGGTCCTCACAATTTAAGACAATTGAAGATGACTTGGTGTCTGCCCTCGTCCGCTCAGGCTGTATCCCTGAAAATCACGGTGAAGACATGAGGAAGATGTCCTTCCAGCGGTGCGCCCGGACAGACAAGGTGGGTGGCAGCACCTGGCCCACCTTCCCCCTTAGTGTCTTTGTCAGCTCTTTTGGGTGTAGATGATGCAGGCACAGATCAAACTGGCCTGAACAGAAAGGATCATTTTGCCCTAAGAAGCCCAGGAGCGTCACCAGCTCAGGTATGGCTGGATCCAGGTGCTCACTGCCAGCAGGGCTTCCAGTCCTCTCTGGTCTTTGCCTTCTCTGTCAACTCTGTCCTCAGGCACACTCACCCCTGCAGGTGGCACAGTGGCCATGACACCTGCCTTAGATCCGTCCAGTGCAGATATGATTGTTTGGCCACAAACACAAGCCACACTTGTAGTGTGACGTTGTCTAGTAGCCACATTTGTGAGGGAAAGGAAATAGGTGAATTTAGTTTCAATAAGTAACTTTATTTATGAACTCAGCATAGCCAAAATATCATTCTCATTTCAGTGTGTAGTCAATATAAAAAGTCTATTAATGGGGTCCATTTTACATCTCTTGTTTTTGTGCTGAGTCTTTGGCATCCACTTTGTATTCCGTACTCGTGGTGCCCCCCCCCAACGCCCGCCAGCCCCATCCCCCGCCTGTCATGTGGCTTCACAGCCAGGTGTGGCTGGTGGCCCTGTGCTGTCCACTCAGACTCGCAAGACTGAGTCCCACTCTCCCCAACCAGCCAGCGTGACGGTACGTGCCGTGTGGTCACAACATGGCACGTTCTTGTGCCCGGACTGAGCCGTGGGACTGGGCGTGGCAGGGAGGCTCGCCACAGGAGAACAGAGATGTGTCACCAGGGAGGGACGGCAGGGCCTGCAGGGACCAACAGCTCTTCTGCAGCACGTGTGAAACGTGGTCCCTCTCGTCCTTGCTCTTCTGGAGCCCCGGCCCCCCCCACACATCTCTTAGGCCACCTGAGGGCGCCGGGGTCTGTCATAGATACGACTTTTTGCAGATCAGGGCCCCCCAGGAATCTCAGTTAAGCTCTTGTCCACACAAATGTCCAGTCTCAGAGGCACACAGGTCCCTGGGCGCTATGGGGCAGAACCCCAGGACTGCAGCCATCCTACGGGCTGGTCGGATCACAAACAGGGAGCCATGGTTCACTCCTAGCAGGTGACGACAGTAACATAGTTAACAGCTCAAAATAAGGAGTTCTGTGGTTCTTACTGTTTTTGATTTCCTTTTCCATTTATAGCTCTGGTTGCTTTCAAGGCAGAAGTAAAATAAAAATTTGCCTGGGTTGATGCAGAGAGCATTTCAAATGGGGTCCTTGTGATTGTTTTATTCCCGCTGTTAACTACAGAGGTGGTTTCATTCTAATATTTTCTTGCTTACAATTCAGAAAACCTAAAGAGGTAGAAAACCTGTGAGGCTGATAATACAGCACCTAAGCAGCCAGCCTGTGGATGAACAAACTGTAGCATTTTGTTTTTGTTTCAGATTTTGATTTTTTCGAAAATAGCTTCGTTGAAATAAAATTCACTCCCATACAATTCGCTCATTTAAAGTATATAATTCAGTGGTTTCCGGTATGTTCACCGAGTTGTGCAGCCCTCGCCACAGTCGATCTTAGAACTCCCCCTAAGAAGCCTTTTGTCCTGTAGCTGTCACCCCCAGCCTCCACAGATAAAATACTCTTTTTTTTTGAGACAGAGTCTCGCTCTGTCCCCCAGCTAGAGTGCCGTGGCGTCAGCCTAGCTCACAGCAACCTCAGACTCCTGGGCTCAAGTGATCCTCCCACCTCGGCCTCCCGGAGTGCTAGGATTACAGGCGCGAGCCACCGCGCCCGGCCTGAAATACTCTCATTTCAGCGTGTGATCAGTACAGAAAGACCGGCAGTGATGTGGGTCTCCCTTCCCCTACTTTGGTGCTAAATCTTTGAAATCTATGGACTGTTTCCTCCTGCGGGAAGCTCTTTCAGGCACTCAGCATAGCAGGGGCCTGTCTGGGAGGTGTCGGTCTAGGCTGCAGTGGATTTGGTCCATAGAGCATCTCAACAGTTTATTTTTTGTCTTTTTTTCTTTTAATTCCTCCAACTTTTTATTTTGAAAATTTCCGACCTTCAGAAAAGTCCCAAGAATGACGCCCGAGCACCCTGCACTCTGCCCGGATGCACCAGGGTTTTGCCCTATTTGTTTTCTTTTTATTTATGTTCTTTTTTTTTCTTTAAATGGAACCACTTGAGAGTAAGTTGTAGACATGATCACCCCTCACCCCAAAATACTTCAGCGTGAGTCTCCCAGGGACAGTGACACCCTCCAGTGACCCCGCAGTATGAGTAAGCGATCACCCCGGGAATCCAGCGTTGGCGGAACACCCTCATCCAGCGCGCTTTCTGAGGCGAGGGGCTGCCTTTGGCTTCTGTTACTCAATCCGGTACCTGATCTAGGATCGTTTCTTTCATTGGTAGTTTCGTTTCCTGACTTTCCTTTAATCTACAATGATCTTTTTGCCTCTTTCCTTCCTGTCCTTCGTGATGTGACATTTTTGGATGGTTCAGGCCAGTCATTTTAAAGCACGTCCTCAACCTGGATTTCACTGATCGTTCTTAGTGACTAGATTTGGATAAGAATTTTTGTGGCATGAACACTGTGGTTCCCAGCCCCCGGGCTGTGGCCTAGTAGGAACTGGCCGCACAGCGGGAGGCGAGGGGCAGGTGAGCAAGCGAAGCTTCCTTTGCATTTACAGCTGCTCCCCGTGGCTCCTGTCACCGCCTGAGCTCCGCCTCCTGTCCAATCATCAGAGGCGTTAGATTCTCACAGGAGCACGGACCCCACTGTAAACCGCACA